TACTGGGACTGCTACATCACTTCCTGTTAGCAAAGTGGATTCAGTTTTTCTGACAGCATGGATCTTGGGACTTGTAGTCCTATTGCTATTATATCCTGTATTCCTGAGTGATTATTAAATTACAACTACCAGGGACCTGGCGAACAAGAAGGATGCTGGGAAAGTAGATATATTCTACAGAAAGGGACTGGGACTGGCTTGTTCTCTTAGTGTGGGATTTAAATCTGAACACAGAGGGACTACCGTTATCCTCCAGAGACAGATTGCTGGCCTACTACTGCAGGACTCTGCACATCAATTCAGCACAGCAGTGACATCAATCGCCACACCGGGATCACATCAGCCTCTCTGCTTTGGGACTGTCACTATCCGGTCTTCACACAGACATCTCTGCTTGCTGTGCTGACAGGCTGTCAGGTGGAAACTCTGCACTTCCCTGAAAACAGTCAAGAACAGGGCAAGAACTCTGTTCCTAGGAGACCATGCTATTCATAGGATTGGTCAACAGGCGGATGCCTAACCTCTTTCTGTCATCACTCTAGAGACACTGCATGCAGACACTTTTGCACCTCAGTTACCAGGAGACCTTTTCTTTGAGTAGCACCATGGCTTATCTGTTTAACTTCACTGAATTACCAGTATTCACTAATGCTTATGGGCCCCACCACTGCTAGCAGGAGACAGCGGATACCACTATATCTGGAACTTTAAAGATCGCTGGACTGTAGCCTACTCTTTTAAACATGTATAATATGTTGGTGTTACTGTACTGTTGAAATATGTCTGAACCCAGAGTGTCAGAGGTGTCGGGAGGCTTGCAAGGTCAGGGCAACCACTGAAAACAAGCATTATCAAGTGCCCCCTGCAGGGGTAGCACTATACACATGTACTCACCTGCAAGCTACAGCTGTCGCACGTCACCTCTAAACCCAAGAACTGAGCCATCATATGATCACTGATTACTCATCTTTTGGATTGATCCGTCTCTGCTCTCCACTCTGCTCTTTGCACACTCACAAGGCATGCACTGAGAGGTGGAGCCAGCTGCCAATTGGGCTGCTGGGTGGACTAAGGGCACACTACATTCTAAAAATATATATATATATATTTATATATAAAAAAAAAAATGTGAGGCTGCTGCTGTCCCCCACTTGTTCTAAGACCAAGAAATTAGTGATCACATAACAGCTGATTTTTGAGTTCTCAGTCTTCCTGGAACAGAGAACAGTGACTGTCAGTCACTGCTCTCTACTCTGCCCCTCCAGCGCTTATTAGAGAGTCAGGCAGAGAAGGGGGGGGGGAAGCGCAGCTGGCTTAGACTCTCATCTGCTCTCAGCTTCCAATCAGGCAGCTGGGTGGACTCCAACAATAGTGTCAGGATTCTTCCAGAGCATGGAATGGCCCTGCCATGTCAGTTGGTAGAGGGCAATAGCCCACTATTAGCTGACTCTTCGTCAAAAGAAAGTGCACTCCTGTGACCACAGCATTCTGTGCTTTAAAGAGAAGTATGGCCATACTTCTTGCAAATCTAATTGTGTTACACCACAGTGTATGGCCTAAATGAGAACTCACCAGATTAACTCAGCCAACCCAGTAGCCAGCAATTTTATATGCACTTGGTTGGCCGAATTAATCTGGTGAGTTCTCATTTTGGCCATACACAGTGGTGGAACATAATTTTAATTTGCAAGATTCGGCTATCAGTTGGACTGTCACATCAGATTGGTGTTTGGGACTTTTTTCATTTCACTATTTCTTTGTTATATGATTATTTATGGTATGTTATTTTATGTATGGTAATTTATAAGATTATCACTATCACATTATACTTGGTTAGCGCCCACTCTTATTCACTGCACATATATGTTAAGTGTAATTGCACTTAAAAGGGCAGCTGCTTAGGTATTTACTGATCTTACGGATCATTATCATAAAATTTGATTTGGTTTGGTGCTGTTTCATTTTTGAATTAGAAAAATGCAGAAGTCCTTAGCAGGACTAGAGTGCTTGAACTCATTAGGACAAAGGGATGATAGGATGTGCAAGAAACACAGAGATGAACAGAGGACCCAGCAGATGAAGTAATGATAGATATGGTTGGAGTATAAGGAGTCTTGAATAGGGAGGGCACTGGTGGGGAACACAATGCACCCACATGTGCAGTTAAGGTTAAGGCCTGTAGAAGGGCCGAAGCTCAGAGCCTTGTCTTCACCAAAGTTCCTGAGGGTAGAGATGGGTTTTGCTGAAAACAATTTCCAGATTGCAGCCCTCTGTTTCACCAAAACAGGCAGCTATTGGGAAGTGAGGGCTGATGGGCATGTAAGAGCCCTTTGCAGATGCTGGGATCACCATTCAGTTGGTAGTATCACTTGGAAAATCTTTGGTATCAGGAAACATGGAATCTTGAGGTCACTTGGAATCTCTTGGAAAATCTAGGACACTGGGAAGTCAAATATTGGGGTCACTTGGAATCGCTCAGAAAGTCAGGAACACTAGGAAACTCATGGAAATGCTGAGCGGCTTGGGGCTAAGAACACTACTTTTGCACAGGCAATGCATAAGTGAATTAGTCCAGCCTAAATAGAAAGGGAGATGGCCTGGCTGTGCTGGGACTGAGCATGTAGCTGCTTGAATCAACTGCAGGTGAGTTACCAATCTTGAACCCATTTCTTGTGAGATAACAGGTAACAGTAGAACATTGCCTGTTGAAGTTATGGAACTACATGGACCAGCATGTCTGCTGGTCTGTGGGAATACAAGTGACAAATCCCACAGATCAAATATGGCTTCCTCTAAATCCATTTAAAAAAATTAACCATCCTTTTCTAAACAAGTTAGACGTGTCCCCCAAGTTTTTTTTCCATAAAAAGCCACAGTGAATTCTGCTGTCCATACCGTTACAGTACACTGTTCAGCTACATGCACTTTATTTTCTATTCTATTTTCAGTTGTAACTTCTTAGTCAATCTCTAAAATTATAGCCTATGAAAGGTAATGCTGGAATTATATGTGACAGCTTTCACTCAGCACTCCTACTGCCAGTGATTGCTCATATACTGTACATAATTAGTTTTAGTTTAAAGCTCAATGGCACCTAGAACACAAAACAACATCCGAGTCTTTAGAAATGAAGACTTTCTGATAATGGAGATGCTAAACTACAATGTATTTAAACTCACTCCATCAATGCCGTAGAGCCAGCATGTAGCATGGGGGTATTCTTCATACACCCCAACAGGGAAAAGATAGGATATAAGCAAAAGCCCATGGACAAGACATATGCAGCATATTTATAAAGCAGTGAATACCGCTTTAAAACTTTTACTAAATATTCACTGGTATTGAATAATTGACTGTCTTTTAAAATATAGGCACGTGCATCAGGAAGATTTACGTGCAGCTGATGTTTTGGGAATGTCTGATTCACAAATGTATGACTATGCCCAATAATGTAACACTGCCATTAGTAAAAGGAAAAAAAAAATCATTGTTAAAGTTGGTATTGTTTCCCAGGCTGACAGGGGTCAGAAACTCAACTGTAACAGCAACAGGAATGATGCACACTGAGATGCAAAATATTACTCATCCTATATTAAAATAGCAAATACGAAGTATGAAAAAGTTCTATTCTGAAATGTTTCACGCCAGGCACTTTGAGAAAATGCCATGCTGAACACGAAGCATCTAAGAATAGTACCTGTGCCTTCTGGCTATTTTAGTCCCTTCCCGCCTGGCCTATTGGGCAGGAGCCCTATTATCCTGTCCTGTCATAAGATGTCCTCCCAGGATTGTATCTCTTGTGCGCCCCACAGACCGTAATTCGGTGTGATCTGTAACCCGTTGTGTCCACCAGACACAGCTGATGACAGATCACTGTACCGGCCCACTACCAGGTGATTGCTGTGGTCAATCACAGCAGATCACATGACAATTGTACACATTGAAAGGCTTTGATTCATGTCTTTAATTGTGTACTATTGTGATAAGCTCTGTGATTTTTCAGTGATCACATGGTACAGACAGGGCCAATCAAAGCCCATCTGTACCATGTGATTAGCTGTAGCTAACCACAGCTAATCATAATAGTAAACACTAAATGAATAGTTGTAATTCAGATTGATTTACAAAAAATGGTTGCCTATAACTAAAATTTACAGTTATAAGCAATTGTAGTGTATAATATATATATATATACATATATATATATATATATATATATACATATATATATATATATATATATATATATATATATACAATATTGCCAAAGTATTAGGACGCCTGCCTTTACATGCACATGAACTTTAATGGCATCCTAGTCTTGCTCCGTAAGGTTCAATATTGAGTTAGCCCACCATTTGCAGCTATAACAGTTGCAGCTCTTCTGGGAAGGCTGTCCACAAGGTTTAGGAGTGTGTCTATGGGCATGTTTGACCATTCTTCTAGAAGCGCTTTGGGAGGTCAGGCACTGATGTCGGACGAGAAGGCCTGGCTTGCAGTCTCCTCTCTAATTCATCCCAAAGGTGTTCTATCGGGTTGAGGTCAGGACTCTGTGCAGGCCAGTTAAGTTCCTCCACCCCAAACTCACTCATCCATGTCTTTATGGATCTTGCTTTGTGCACTGGTGCACAGTCATGTTGGAACAGGAAGGGGCCATCCCCAAACTGTTCCCACAAAGTTGGGAGCATGAAATTGTCCAAAATGTCTTGGTATGCTGATGCCTTAAGAGTTCACTTCACTGGAACTAAGGGGCCAAGCCCTACCCCTGAAAAACAACCCTACACCATTATCCCCCCTCCATCAAGCTTTACACTTGGCACAATGCAGTCAGGCAAGTACTGTTCTCCTTGCATCCAAACCTAGACACGTCCATCAGATTGCCAGACACAGAAGCGTGATTTGTCACTTTAGAGAACACGTCTCCACTGCTCTAGAGTCCATTGGTGGCGTGCTTTACATCACTGCATCCAATGCTTTGCATTGCACTTGGTGATGTAAGGCTTGGATGCAGCTACTCAGCCATGGAAACCCATTCCATGAAGCTCTCTACGCACTGTTGTTGTGCTAATCTGAAGGCCACATGAAGTTTGGAAATCTTTAGCTATTCACTCTGCGGACAGTTTCCGACTTCTGCACACTGTGCACTTCAGCATGTGCTGACCCCACTCTGTAATTTTACGTGGCCCACCACTTCATGGCTGAGTTGCTGTTGTTCCCAGTTTCTTCCAGTTTTTTATAATACCACTAACAGTTGACTGTGGAATATTTAGTAGCAAGGAAATTTCACGTATGGACTTATTGCACAGGTGGCAACCTTTCACGGTACCACGCATAAATTCACAAAGCTCCTGAGAGCACCCATTCTTTCACAAATGTTTGTAGAAGCAGTCTGCATGCCTAGGTGCTTGATTTTATACACCTGTGGCCATGGATGTGATTGGAACACCAGAATCCAATGATTTGGAGGGGCATCCCAATACATTTGGCAATATAGTGTATATATACTGCTCAAACAAAAATTAAAGGAACAATTTTTAATCAGAATATAGCATCAAGTCAATTAAACTTCTGGGATATTGATCTGGTCAGTTAAGTAGCAGAGGGGGTTGTTAATCAATTTCAGCTGCTTTGGTGTTAATAAAATTAACAACAGGTGCACTAGATGGGCAACAATGAGATAACCCCCCCAAAACAGGAATGGTTTTACAGGTGAAGGTAACTGACATTTTTTTCCCTACTCATCCTTTCTGACTGTTTTTCATTAGTTTTGCATTTGAGTAGGGTCAGTGTCACTACCAGTAACATGAGGTGATACATGAACCCGACAGAGTTTGCACAGGCAGTTCAACTTCTCCAGGATGGCACATCAATACGTGCCATTGCCAGAAGGTTTGCTGTGTCTCCCAGCATAGTCTCAAAAGCATGGAGGAGATTCCAGAAGCTAAGCAGTTACTCTAAGAGAGCTGGACAGGGCCATAGAAGGTCCTTAACCCATCAGCAGCACCGGTATCCTGTGCAAGGAGGAACAGGATGAGCACTGCCAGAGTCCTACAAAATCATCTCTAGCAGGACACTGGTGTGAATGTCTTTGACCAAAGAATCAGAAAACAGACTTCATGAGAGTGACCTGAGGGCCCGGCGTCCTCTAATGCGCCCTGTGCTCACTGCCCAACACCATAGAGCTCAATTGGCATTTGCCATTGAACACCAGAATTGGCAGGTCAGGCACTGGTGCCCTGTGCTTTTCACAGATGAGAGCAGGTTTACCCTGAGTACATGTGACAGACGTGAAAGGGTCTGGAGAAGCCGTGGAGAACGTTAAGCTGACTAACATCGTTCAGCATGACCGTTTTGGTGGTGGGGGTCAGTGATGGTCTGGGGAGGCATATCCATGGAGGGATGCATAGACCTCTACAGGCTAGAGAATGGCACCCTGACTGCCATTAGGTATTGGGATGAAATCCTTGGACCTTTTGTCAGACCCTATGGTGGTGCAGTGGGTCCTGGGTTCCTCCTGGTGCAGGACAATGCCTGGCCTCATGTGGCGAAAGTATTCAGGCAGTTCCTGGAAGATGAAGGAATTGATACCATTGAATGGCCCCCACGCTCGCCTGACCTAAATCCAATAGAACACCTCTGGGATATCATGTTTCAATCCATCCAACGCCATCAGGTTGCACTTCAGACTGTCCAGGAACTCGGTGATGCCCTAGTCCAGATCTGGGAGGAAATACCCCAGGACACTATCTGTCGTCTCATTAGGAGCATGCCCGACGTTGTCAGGCATGCCTACAAGCACGTGAGGGCCATACAAACTACTGAGTACCATTTTGAGTTGCTGCAATGAAATTTCAGCAAATGGACTAGCCTGCTGCATCATTTTTTCACTTTGATTTTTGTTGTGTCTTTGAATTCAGTCCTCTGTAGGTTGATAATTTTTATTTCCATCAAACAATGGGGCATCCTCACGTTGCTAACACATTACCCAGTCCATATCAGTATAGATATCCAGCATGCTATTTTTCCCCATTGAGGTCTGATGTGTTTTCAAAGTGTTCCTTTAATTTTTTTTAGCAATGTATATATGTATACAGCATACAGTATATATACCATAGTTTGTGGACTCTATAACTTTCCTACAGAGTAAATAATATACACTGATTTGGGTTATTTTCACCAAAGAAATGTAGCAGTATACATTTCATCTAAATTTATGAAGAATGATTATTTATTTGCAAAATTTTAGAACAGAAACAAAGAAAGATGCATTTTCCCCAAAAAACAAAATTTTCAGTCTTTTTTAGTTTATTTAGCAAAGAATTTAAAAAAACAGTGGTGAGTAAATAACACCAAAAGAAAGCTCTATATGTGTGAAAATTGTAAAACTGTCATATGAGTACAGTGTTGCATGACCGCGCAATTGTCATTCAGTGTGACAGCTCTGAAAGCTAAAAATTGGCATGGGCAGGGAGGGGGCAAAACTTACATAGTTATATAGTTAGTCTGGCTGAAAAAAGACAAAAGTCCATCCAGTTCAACCATTAAAGAAAAAAAAAAAGTTATAATCCTATACTCACAGTTGATCCAGAGGAAGGCAAAAAACCCAGCAAAGCATGATCCAATTTGTTCCTGCAGAGAAAAAAAATCCTTCCTGATCTCCTGAGAGGCAATCGAATATTCCCTGGATCAACTTTACCTATAGATGTCCGGTAATAAAGTGATTAATAAAGAAAGATTATAATTGTGCATCTTGGTGTGTGGCATTCCTGTTGCTAGTACAAATGATTGCTTTGGTCGAGATGAGCTGAGCCAGGACCTGAGTTATGATTTTGGAGTGTGATGCCTGATCTTGCCTGGAGTGGCATGTGAAATATTTGACAAAGGGAAAGAATATGTCTAATATTGGGTAAAGAGTTAAATATAGATTGGCCAGTCATTATTATTTGCAATGTTAGGGCAATCTGACATGCAAGATAAAGATAGATACATAGACATATTATTATTATTATTATTATACATTATTTATAAAGCGCCAATAGTTCGCTCAGCGCTGTACATTACAAAGGGGGACAGAACATGTGACAGAACAATACCAATACAATGCAAAACATGAGGGGATTGAGGGCCTGCTCTTTGGAGCTTACAATCTAGGAGGGAGAAGTCTGGTTAGAGGAAATAACATTTATGTGTACCTGTGGACCACCAGAAGAATTAAGAATCACCTCTGGGTAGGTATATTATTTGTAGGATAGGGTTGGTATTTTTTTCTCTCACAATTATTTTTATAAAATTTACAGAATTTGGTTAAAAATATGAGTATATTTAATTGAAATTACCAATTTATTAGTGAAATTGAGCAACACCGATAGTTTTACTAATAAAACCCTTTTTTACACTACAGATATGCAGATTTTATTTACTTCTATACCTCATGATGATGGGATATAGGGTACTGAAAACCATCTATTGGTAATAATAATATTGCATTGAGCAATATATTTTATATTGGATTGTCTCGATTTAATTTTGATTTAACCAGTTTTGATTTGAGAATTGGTATTGTACTACAACAAGGCAAGAATATTGGGCATCCAATGGCCCTTTTTATATGTTTTTGGTGGATATTGAGGACTAAATGTTCATTGAGAAGAGAACATACAAGACATACAATATATTTTACAATTCTAAAGATTTGTGAGTTACTTTCTTCTGCCCTAGGCTGGCATGATTACTGAAGTTAATCAATTACCTGATACTATCAAGTTTATTGCTGGTGGTCTACTTTGAATATAATTTATTTAGATGATCATTTACAGCCCTCCTATACCTTCTGTATTAAACTGTATATAATTGCACTGCCCCCTTTATATTGTAAAGCGCTGTGTGAATTGTTGGCGCTATATAAATCCTGTATTATAATAATAATAATGAGTTAAGCAAAGATGCAATTGATTTGTAATTTGTAACCCAACCGCAGAGGACTAATGTGCATAGTGTCCATTGGCACGATTTGAAACAAACTATTGATAGAGATACTTTTCTGACAGCAGAGAATATCTGCACCTATAAAGAGTAGTGGATGCAGCCAGTGCAAGTTTTGGAGCTCGCCAATGGCCTGCTTTGCTAATTTGTGTGGATGGTGTTACAGAACCTTAGTAAGCAATGTTGAAAGCACTTTTACTTTTTACATTTGTACAGCAGTTGCCAAGTAATCAGCTGCTTTGGCTTCTTCTATAAAAAAAAATTAAACTTCATAACAGAAAACTGCATGTAGCCAGGATCTCCCAACACACTTCTATGCCAACACCCTGAAGATAACAATTCCAAAATGAAGCAATACATTATGAAACAGACCTGGACACTGACAGCTTTGGCAGTAACGTGTTGTCTAATTAATGCAATGCAGCATATCTAGGCGCCCTTATACTTTTCTTTAAGGGTTTACAAGCAAAATATTTTTCCCAAGCATACCAGACATTTTTATTTAAAAAAAGCACATAGAGACTTTTAGTTCCACAGCAATGGGTTTGCTCTCATTAAACATAGCAAAAACTTGATCTGGGTCAACAATCTATCATCATTTCCAGCCTAGGCTTTTCACTCTTCCTGCACTGCTGGTGAATTCCGTCTTGTGACCTCTCTCTTGTCACTTCAGTATCCTGTTTCTTCTCTCAGACTAGTAAGAGATACATAGACACCCATAGGTCAAAAAGCCATTTACTAGTGTCAACACTATGATTCATTACAGAACAGAACAATATTTTAAAATATTTTCCTTTCTCCAGGAAATCATTCAGATTTTGGACCTGTGTACCTATGCATAGACACTCTACCTTTTATGTTATATAAGCCAGCCTAGGTCCCCATTAAACATTTACAGTACCTGCCTATAACCTGTAATTGGAAACAATGATGCTTAGGCTTATTAGCATATGAAAGCTATAATAATCAGCTTGCCTAGACAGAGCGGGGATCATTTGCAAGCAATGATTCCTTCTAGTGGATGTAAGGTTGCTTTCACAGCTTTAAAAGGCCAGTGGTCTATTTTTAGTTCCCCGGTATAAATAGCTTAGCTGCTTAAAGAGAAGGAGAAATCTGCACAGTTCCGCTTCTGATACTTGTCTCTATGGATAGCTAAGAACAGACCCTGCAGAGGAGCTGGTGTATATTGTTATCTCATATGACGTATGGGTGGACCTGTTATGATGAAGTATCTGGTATGGAAACATGTACAAGGGGAAATGTGTAGGCATTGTTCATATCATTCCAAAAATGTTATGTGCTCTGCTTCAATCCCGTCTAAATCAAAGACCCAGTATAAAGCCAGTGTAGTCAAAGTTCTTAAAGTGTAAATATAGCCACCCTTTATTTAGCTTTGGATAAAGTAGGAAAGGG